CTCGCGGATTCTAAAATCGGAGGAGAATGTAACCTCAGTAGGGCTCACGGTGTGTTTTGGGCAGTGCTTATTCCTGTTGCTTTCTTCCCATTCCACTGCACACATCAGGCGTGATCATCAGTACGCGACGTACATGTGTGTGTATGGGTGTAAAAATAGTAATCTGGGGGGGGGGGAAATCCCTTCAGTGTTTTTCAAATCTACCTTTAAATTTGTCACTAAAAAAACATTTAGAAAATACTTTCAGTTAGCCTTGTGTAGCTATATGCAGCTATTCTATTATGTGTACTGAAATGTCTAATGTTTTCTGTGTACATTTATCTTGGTGTGAAATAATCTTCATATGACTGCAAGTTTGGTTTTTTCCTCACAACTAAGAAAACCATACCTCCCAGAGGCAAATGACTGATGGAGATTGCAAAGCCTTTGTAGTATTTCTGTGGTAGTGCCTCTCGCATATATTCCCTTATCTAAAAGAAAATGGTCTGAAATTTTTTACCTGTCCAAGCTAATGGGTTTCTTTTAATACCTAACCATCTATATGAAGCTCAGGCATGTTTTTCACCCATGTGATTTAAAGTAACACCTGTTACTTCGTCAAAGTTATTTTTGATTTATGCCCGTGCAGAAGTTGGCTCTTTCAAGAAGCTAATTTGCTGAAACTAGTGCAAATATTTAACTCCTGAGGTTAGAGTGTCTTTTGTTTGCATTTGTGATGTTAGAATATTAATATTAAGAAGCGAACCCCCAGCGTTGGGTGGATGCGGACAGTTACCACAACGCACAGAGAGGCGAGGTTTCACCATCGGAGCTCTGGACCGGCCCAGAGACTCATCTAAAGAAATGCGGTCGTGGGGTCAGGGTGGCCTACGCTGTATCATTTTCTGCGCTCGAGTTAGTTTTGTAAAATGTTTGAACAATACTTTGTGCTGTTGTGTCAATAATAGCGGAAAATCTACCTTATCCCAAATAATACAAAAATAGAGTGCAAGAGCTATTTACAGTGGGAACAAATGGAAAGCTAATGACATTAGAAAAATGCATTGATGTTTTTACATAGCTATGCAACAAAATATTTCGGTTAAAAATAAATCTGATGGTTTTAAGAATTGGTAGCACCCACGAGCATAAAAAATGTCTAAAAACAACTTATTATTTTTCCCCAATGATTTTTGAGCATTTACTTTGAATTATTATTGTCACATGTTCAGATGGTTTAGTTTCTTCAAAGTTGCTGTTTGGGAATAAATTAACGAAAATATATTTGCGATTTAGAAAGTTTTGTATCTCAGGAGACACTAAATGTTGAGTTGTATCTAAATAAATGTTTTGTCCCCAGTCCAGGAAGAAATTTAAAAAAAAAAAAAAAATCAAAACAGATTCTTACATTTGAGCAGAGACATATGTTTTGTGGGTTGGCACCAGACTAGGATGCAGAATCTTGTAGAACCAACTCTTCATACTCTAGGATATTTAGAGGAACAACATTCAAAACAAGGTGCTAGAGAATTAAAAAAAAAAAAAAAAAAATACAGACTTACTTTAAGATGGAAAAATGTCTGTTTTGAGTCTCTTTATGGCTGTCTATTTCTAGTGCCATGTAACTGTGACTTTTTTTGTGTCAGTGTCAAATGACATACAGGAATCAGCTATTGTAAATAAGATAACGTGTTATTAAAAAGAAAATGTTTTCATTTCATTGGTAAACTCACATTAATTGAAGATGAGATCATAGTGACTCCTCCTGGCTGTTAGGACGATGATCATAAAGTCATATGAAGAAAAAAATAATGAAACACTTGGGTGCTGTTCAGCAAAATGAACAGGTCCCAAGAGATTTAGAAGATTCCCCTGAAACGTGGTTTAACACAGAAGAAACCTTTTCCCTGTGATGCGATGCTCAAACTCCTTCGAGAAGGCTTGGAGGTTTTAAGAACAAAATTAATGATACCCTTATAACAACTGCAGTAATTGTGTGTGAGAGAGAGAGGATTAAATCTGATCAGAAATAACATCTGCAATGGGAGCAGAGTTTAAATATCTGGATTTTGGTTGTGCAGTTCAGTGCCAGCAAAAAAAGAAAATATCATTTATTAACACAAAAGGCAAAGTGAGAATGATTTACTTGTCAGGCAAAAAAAAAAAAAGTCTTTTCAGTGGCACTTAAAAAATCTGGGGAGACTTGGGTATGATTCAACTTCTTAAGAAAATTGAATGCTAAGTTTGAAGGGCAATTGATAGAAAGCCTCAACACCGAATTACATGCGCAAAGTCGCTTTTAGGGAAAACAAGTCACAGGCTCTGAACCACTTTGAAGAATAATTGTTTAAAATGGCACAATGAAATGTTGCATTCATTTCCCTGTAGTTGCTCCGTATTATGTGTTCTCCCTTTAAAAAAAAAAAGGTTTTTTACTGCAGTTCTCAGTGCGCTTTCAATTTTAAGATCTCCCTGTCAGCAGGTGTGCTTTCTGGTTTGTAACTGCTGATAAGTATCTTCTGTGCTGAACTTATTAAACAAATCTGTTGATGGATTCTGCTTTGGCTTCCGTACCAGTTTATTCCTCTGACTTTATTGGTTTGGCATATAAAACAAGTAAAGTACAGCCAAAGCCAAGCATAGCTAACAAAAGAAGCATATGTCATGACTGCACAAGATGTAGACCTGTTGAATTAGAGGTAATTGTTTTGGGTTTAATGTTCACGTGGCGTACCTTAATGCAGCAACATTTGGTGTCTTAGATCCGGTTGTTTAGTGACTTTGAGCAGCTTATCAGCAGAACTTGTTTTTCACCTGTTTGTTTCAGACGACTTCTGTGCACTTCGTTATATTTCATTAGCCTTAGATTATTTGAAACACTCTTTTCCATTCCTCTCCTGCCCCTCAACCCTGTCTTGAACCATATCTGAAAATGCAGCGGCAGTCTGCTGGGGCAGCGTCGCTTTCAGTTCCTACACAGCAGCTTTTTAATGCTTTAATAGGGTCATTTTGTCTCTGGAATTTTTTCCCCATACCAATCCATCAACTCTCAGTTTGGCAAGCATCAAGGCACAGTGTACATCCAATTTCTTTTTCACATTTTTCATTAGAAAAAGAGAGTTAGTATAATCATGGTATAGCCTATGCAATTTTATTTCAGAGACTGATCTGACAGTTATTTTTTCTACAGGGATTTTAAATTTTTGGAAGCACTAGAAAGAGCAGAGTATCCATTTAAGTATTCGATAATGTGCTATTTTGCAGAAAAAGTTGGTTTGAAAGGTGTTTATTCTCAGGTAATGGAAGTCGGGAGGGACTGGATTAGCTTCAGAAGAAACAAACGCGGACAATTCAGATAAAGAGTTATCATAAAGCTGAGATGAAATAACTTTTTGCTAGGCAAACTGCAAAAACTTAGTGTTTTTGCTATTAGAGGTATTACGGCTTTAAGCAGCAATAAATTGTCCACAGAGCCTGCTGAGTGATCTGGTGATCCAATCACCATTCCACACGTGTCCTGACTGCTGGCAATCAGATGTCCCAGGCCTGCACATAAATAAATGAGTAAATAGATAAATCACGTTTTTAAAAAAATATATATTCAAGATGAATTAGTTGCCTGCGTTAACCCAAGTTGGATCGCTGCTCTGGTTGTACGCTGTCGGGAGTCAGCAAAAGGTTTTCCTTTGCTCAGAGTTGGATTCCTCTGTAATCTGAGAAAGACTAAACCAAGTGGAATCGACTGAGTAGAGGGGAAGATTGTTTACAAAACGAAAGCTTTTTGACTTGATTAGTCTTCTAGTTAATTGCATCTGTTGCTAAATGAGGACTGAAAGATTTCAGAAGTATTGCAGCATATGTTAGGTTATGCGGGGACCAGTGGGGCTTAATTTTGTATATAGCGTCGAGCATGTGCATAAGGGTTGGTTATACTGACTTACGGCTGTTATCAAACTTCCTGTCTCATGTTACCCAGCTACGCTTTGAAGTTCCTTCATTAAGGAAATGTTCTCCAGAGCAGAGAACGTCAGGGCATTCTGAACGTCAGGAAACACCTTTTTACTGTGAGGGTGGTTGACCACGGGGCCGGGTTGCCCAGAGAGGCTGCGGAGTCTCCATCCGTGGAGATGTTTAAAGTCCAGCTACACACGGTCCTGGGCCACCAGCTCTCGGTTGCCCTGCTTGGGCAGGTGGGGCGGAGCAAATGTTCTCCAGAGGTCCCTGGCAACCTCAGCTACTCGGTGGAAATTTTATTGTGGTTATAATAGACAAGTGGTTTCTCTTTTAATGAAAGAAGTTGAGACTTGAGAAAAAAATTAACAGAAAATTGATGCTATTGGGCATTTTAGCATAAGTTGATTCCAAAGGACGTACATACATAGACACGCTCATTTGATTCTGACCTTACCATAAGCACAGTAATCTTTTTTTTTAATTCATCTTTCCATAGTTAAAGTACTAAAATAAGAAAACGGCACTAATAAATGATACTGCATGGTTATACAGTTGAAT